TATTTACCGTTTTCATAATGCATTACTTAAACCCTCTTAAATTTGTTTTTTTAATATAAGCTCAATTTTCTTATAAACCAGTTAAAGATTTGTATGAAAAACTTCTCATTACATTTCAAAAATTTTTATCTAACCTAAAATATTATACTAACATATTCGAAAAACTAAGAAAACATGGAAATTTCAATTTTTATTTAATAAGTCAAGCAAATTGTTAGGAAATTACTCTACCATATCAAATGATGATAATCTCTACGATTAATCTTTGTCTCTATTATTTTTTGAGTTACGATGACTATCTTAACGAAAACTGATGTGCCGTAAATCTTTTTTATAACTTTTTATAAATTTTTCGCAATTATCAAAAAAACTGTAGTAAGTACCTACTGGAAAACATAGCCTAGATTAGTTTTTAATTAAGTTAGGATAATTAAATCCTTCTAGTCGAAAACGTGTTTACACAGACGCATAAAAAAAATATATGAAAGAAACACACACATATCACGGTAAAACCAATACGTTCTTCGTTTCACTCAGAATCTACAATAATTAATTATAATGTGCTAACTCATTAAAATCAGTACATGTGAGCACGTGTCGTTTTCAAATATACATAATTATAAAATGATATCAAGTAATTTCCTGTAATCTTATCGACGTAGTTCTGACATTATTTTCAGTTTAATAAATAACAGACTACCTATACGCGGTCCAATTAAATGACTATATAGAGTGAATTGAATCAATATACGATATCAATTTTAACATAACTCGACCGTACAACTGCGTGGAACACGTTTATTTTTAACCGTTATGTAAAAACAAAAATTCGTTGAAACATTGATATTTTAATGAATTATTAAAATAAAACAATAAAAACTGTCGAAAACATTACGAATTAAAATAATTATATGCGTTTCCATATGATTTGTACTAATATAATTTTACTCTATTATTATCTATACTGTTTTAACGTGTGTAACATTGAATTTTAAATTTATTACGTATGGTCATCTTCCTGGGAATGAAAGAATGATAATTTATTTCGTTTGTGCACTCTTCATCATAATTATAATGATGTAATACTATAATAATTGTTCTTTTTTTTATCTGCAAATAACAATTACGAGCTATTAATGGTTTTAAAGGAACGAATTTTATTCACCGTTTATATTTTAAGTTATTATTAGGTTCGTATTATGAAAATTTTTGTTTAATTTATCGTAATTGGTCTGGTTTTCTTTTTTTTTTTTTTAATTAAACATTTCTAGTAAGACTACTCGTATTATAGCTTGTTTTAACTTAAGATTCAGAATAGTGAAGGGACTTAAAAGAATATTTAAAAAGTTAAGAATTTTAAATAAATTTAGGAGTTAAATGAACAACGAAGGGCAGTTGATGAAGATACAATGATATCCCTGCAACTCGTTTGCGCACATTCAAAATTTTTTACCTGAAAATAGATAACTCGTTTGTGCACGACACATTCACACACATAACACGTGTATGCATATATTGTCACAGACTGCAGTACAAATTATCAAATATATCATCATAATATTATCTTATAATTTATATAATTGACTGATTATATAAATTTAAATTTTACAACTTTTAGTAAAGTTTCAGTAGGTATGGACTATGGATATGGACGGTACAGTGGTGACTAGTGTGTTGACGACGTACACTTTAATATGGACGTAGAAATTTCTAATATTTTTGAATCTCGTTAAGAAAAACGTTGTTTTAATATTGATAATCATAAATTTACTGAATACCATGTTTTAATGAGTGGATGTTAAAATTTTAGATTCACTAATAAAAAATGTCCTGTGAGTGTTATTATTAATAAATTAAACAAAATAATAAAAGTAACCAACTATCATAATTACAAGGAGTATAATAATCAACGATAATAAGCAAACGAGTTCAGACACAAGGGATTTCCGCCACAGGTAGCCAAAATATATGTGCGCAATCGAGTCGTGCATTTTTGTGCAAACGAATTGTAAAAAAGGTAAATGTGCGTAAACAAGTTGTAGCCGATGATATAATATATACAAATATTTTCCGTATAAAACATAAAAAAAAGGGAATCATTAAAATTTTATTTTATCGAATTATAATTGATTACTTTCTATAAACATGTAGATGGTCCGTATAAATTGTCTGCAATTTTTAGTGAGGTCCTTCGAAAATAATATTAATTTGTGGCCCCGAATGTTTAGATAAAACACTATTATTTTAGGTTCTCAATTAGCTATACGATAATACAAATATCAGTAATATAATTTATTTTTTTACATTAGCATAATGTTCAAATACTTCGATTTTAAAGGAATTTTAACTTGAGAATCTCCAATTTAAATCACTGGTTTGCCGTTTTCGCTAGCAAGCATTTTGTAGATTTTTCTTTTTTTTTGTAAATTATTTTTTAACTAAAAAAATTAAATAATAATTTTTTTTTTTCATGAAAATATTTAGAAATCACTCTAAAAGTATTGCATTGAATTTCATAATGTTATCGATTTAGCACCTGAAAATAAATGTTTGTTAGGTACTTAGTTAATTCTGAAGATACAATTATTGGTATTGTATTCAAGTTTAACTGAATTAAATAGAAAAAATAATATTTTATTACTATTTCTATTTGTTTTTGATGACCTTATTTAAGGGTACATAAAATATTATAATTTCTAGAATTCCAATAAATATTATTCAAGCAAAGGTTGTATTTACCAATGATAACATTTTACTTTTCGGTCGCAGTCATATATATATATATATATATATATATATATATATATATATTTAACTACTGAAAAATGGAATTATAATATGAACTCTCGTTAACCGAACAAACCGAAATGAATAAAGTTTACTAGTAAATGCGAATTACTATTTGATATAGATACGTTTAAAATCAATAGCCAAAACGATGGATATCCATTGAAAATTTAACATTTTAATCGGACCGAATCAAAGTTATTGACCTAAATGGAGGCCATACCCGAATTATTTAGACACTATGTATTCAATATTATTTGTTTGCACAAGTATATGAACACAAACCACAAATGACGTTGAGTAGATGCGTACATAGAAGAAATATACGTTATACCTATTGAAAAAAAATAAATAAAATGGATTAGGGGCTTATTAATAATTCTCCAACAAATAACAAATGGGTGATTAATTAAAATAATGCATCCAAATGGTCTTCATCGGAATTGATTTCCGCCGACTTGTGCAATAACTTGTTTCAAAATATTTTTTTACAAAAATATTATCTATGACTCCACATATATATATATAAAAAAAATAATATTTATTATTTATTATTTTTATATTTGTAATAATTTCATATTAACATAATGCAACGGATTTCGTTGGCGCATGTAGTCATATAAACGATGACTGAAATGATTTTTCAACATGGATACTATAAATTTGATGATTTTACTGCTCAATCCATTGGATGAAATCATTGTTTTTTTTTTTCATCATTCATCATTTATCGACAGATAATTTTATGATTGAAAAGATAATGACATGTGAAACGGACCAACGGTAATATAACGTAGTTACATAAATTGCATAATAATACATTATATTACAAATCTGATGGCAGGCTGGCGTGTTTGTGTGTGTGTGTTCATTATCATTTTTTATTTTATGTAGAACTAATATTGAAAATTTCTTAATTAACGATACTGGTAAAATTTTGTCTATGAACTAATCAAACGAACAATGTAAGGTTAGGTACGTTATTTTTCAGTATTGAAATTTTAATGATATAGTTAATACAGTTGCGAAGCACTATTAAATAATTATTATAAAGGGGACTAAATAAAAGTTGGTATAAAATACAAAACGATAAGTTTTGTTTTTTTAAGAATTACTATATTTAATGCCATGAGAAGAATTCATAAACATAAAAGATAAATTGTGTTAAACAGTTATGAAAGGCGGTAGTCTTCAAAATATTCTATACTATATTATTATAACATCTTTAGAATACTTTTGTATTGCACGCGTTCGAAAAAATCACGAAAAACCATTTCGTGTAAAGTTAAATGTAACAACTAGAGCTATAATGTTTAAATTCATATTTTCATTTTGACTTGATAAATTCATTTGGGTAAAAGATAAATTCGTTTTACGTGGTTTTCGATCAAATTAACAGTATCTGATTTAACATGTTTTTACATATGTCTCAATACTTCCATTTTTTTATTACACTTTTCGATAATTTTTTGGATGAAAATTTGTAGTTTGTGATCTAACTTACGTTAAACTGTCAAAACAATTGAAAATTCCAACAAACAATTGGTGAATTTTAAACGCCTAAGAATTATATTGTTTTTACTTTATGAACACCGTCATAATTAGTAGCAAAACGACACTGACTACTAGTGCGGTGCTATTTTTGTAATATCGGTGGAACTTTATTTTCGAAAAAAAAAAAAATACTTACCGCGACACTTTAATATTATTTATGCCCGTGTGTTATATGTACGCATCTTTATTAATCGTAATTAAAGTTACAATATTAAGTTATCGACTGTTATGAACTGTGAGTGCTGTCGGACACTTGAACTAGTATTTTTCCCTAGCCGATAAGAACGCGACCAGAATTTAATCAACATATACGCGCAAAATGTAATCCTACAAAACTGGCTAAAATATTGGAAAATAATAGACATCATTTTAGTCAAAAATATTCTGGAGGAAAATGGAAAACAACTTTTTTTTTTTTTTTGAGGAAAATGGACAGTGGAGGAAAACGGTATCTCGTTTTTAGAGAAAAATGGCTACAGTCGATTATTCAAATAAATTAATATAGCGAACAAACATCAAAGCCGGGACTCGAACATATTATAGCTGTTTTAGCAGTTGCGTAAATATTGTGATCGAACAAATCGCCGTGTACAATAACTGCACGATAAGATTCCGCGCAATCGCATCCCGTATTATAATTATTTATGCCGCCCGCAAGTTCTGGGACTTAAAATAGAGATATAGCTCTGAACATAATTTTTTCTTGTTTTAGTTTTTCTCGTCGATGATTTTGATTTTTAATTTTTTTTTCTTCGTATGGTGTGTTATCATTTTTTCCGATAACAAGAGTACATACTCCAATAGAGTGGTCTAACCTTTTTTTCCCAAAACAAAAAATATGTCATTTTTTACGAGAGAAAAATAACGTACGCACACGGGTAAGTACAAATCAATAAATCGTGATTGATCTTAAAAATATAAATTTGGAATTCTCAATTATTATCTTTGAAGCCATGGTTATTCATTTCTTTTCAGAACCAGCTACCTGTGTCTACTAGATTTTTACAATTGAACTGATTTTTAAACTTTTCGATAACGTGTTATTTTGAATAAGAATACAAACTCTTTGTTAAGACCAATCTCACGAATCAATAAGACTTCCTTTTTCGTATGACATATTCATATACTTAAATCCGATGGAAACAGCTATGTATCCGAAAGGTTAAATTGTAATAATACTTTCAACTGTAGACATGGTCATTACGGAAAAATTAAATTGCACGTGTTATATTATTATTTCATGCCGTAGATACGTAAGCAACTAGGATTAGTATAGCAAAATATAAAAAAAGTACTGGAAATCAATTTCAGTGATCCATGGAAGCGCGCGATTCCCAAATTATGAATCACCAGATTATCTCTAGCTTTAAAAATCAAAATTAGGTATCTTTATTATTTTCCGGCAAATCGAGAACGGTTACCAAATAAATGAGAGGTATGGGAATGCGATGTTCAAGTAGTTTTATACGCTGTTACAGCATAAATAGTATACCATATCAATGTGTCTATCCAATATTCGATGATCCCGAATATGATAGGGTTTCAAATAATCATTCATCAGGCTGAATGTTATATTGATGAAACATTATAACCGGTACTGATTTTTTTCAAGTTCAATTAAAAATATCAATCTTCGTGTCGTTATTCGAATCATGTTCAATTGTTTATAACCCATCCAAACCAACGCTTTGTATACCAGATACATTACGTGTTCGCTTATGTTCTTCAGTACATGCGTGGGCAAACAAAATCAAAAATTGAAAAAAAAAAAATACGTATTCAACCAGTGGACAGATGTCAATTCGGTGTTTGAACTTCATCGATTTTTGTCAAAACAGGTGTTTTTGTGTGGCAGATCGATCGACCGAACGCGGAGTACTGTATACGGAACAGTACCTACTCATCTGGCTACGTGAACAAAAGCATAAACATGTCCTTCACACTGGGCATCATTATCATTTTGACTTCTAATGCGATTCTTTTCAATATTCCAACATCGCAAGGACTCCCAGCTCAGGTCAGTAACAGAAAAATATGAAAAAAAAAATGTATAGTTGCACCAAAAGTGTGTATTTCAGTCGAGTCCCGATTACTCGAAGTTGAAGGGGGATATAAATTCACTTCAAGATATGTATATTCAAGGTATCTAACCCGAATTTATCAAAATGAAATCAAAACTTCGAGTTATATATTGAAATATTATGTAATTTTAAAATTTTACGATAAAAAAACGTTATGATCATATATACATAAATGTTTTACAAAAACTTAAATAGATACAATGGTATTGTAAGTATGTACATATTTCTTATTTATTAGACACAGTAGAAAAAATTATTTGTTTTTAAATTTTGATTTTTCGGCTGTTTGTTGACAATTTTTTTTAATTTTCCTATAGCTTCGAATTTAGAACTATTCACGCTTTCGACAGATTCAACCAATTGCCCAATAGTTTGTAATTATGACATTGCTTGTTTGTCGTAATAATATTTTAAGTTCTTTCAAACTAATAATTTTCATAATTGTTGTAATCACTATTTGATATATTTATACCCAGGGGTGCATTTAGGGAGGGGAAAAGGCGGCATTGCCTCCGGTGGAAAATTTATAAGGGCGGCAGTTTTTATATATAGTTATGAAAAACAAAAGAAATATTTTAAAATAGGTAATTATGACTACACACTACACACATTGTATATATTTTCAATTTTGTATTATAAAATGAATAATTTTGTAGTTGGTTCTAAACTAATGTGGCTCCGCTAAGTAACTAGTAAGTACTAGGTACTTATCAAAATAGAATATGAAATAATTTGAACATAAACGTTTACAGATACAAAATATTGTTCGCTAAACATTTTCAGGTTTATTGAAAACCGAAATGTATTATTATTTATTATTACGTGGGATAATAAAAACATTAATAACGTAGATGGATGCTGATTACCCCGTGGCCTACCAGCTACCATACTATCTATGTTTAATGTGTATTCTAAAAATAGTTGTTTATTTCATATTTGATTGTTCTTTTATTGTTCTGAAAATGTTTGATCATTTCTGATTTTTCAACTGTCGGTCGTCCTCTGTTATTATTGATAAGCTTTTCTTAAAATGTTTGTATTTAACTATTTAAGTTTTAATTAACTTTAAATTAGTAATTACTAATACAATCTAATTAGTATATTTCTCGCACCTAAGCAAGTCTTAGGTATCTTTCAATTTAAAGTATGGGTGGTCGAAAAAAACTAAGCAGCACTAATTATATAAAAAAAAAAAAAAAAAGCAATCATAAAAAAACATAAACATACTGCTCTATTAAATAGTTGTATGAAAATTCAAGACATGTTTAAATCTTCAACATTAACAACTGAAGGTAAGTACTAAATTATTTTATTTTACTATTTTATTCATTTAGTACAAGTAGGTATTAAATATACAGGTATTATTTCAAAACTAATCACTTTTTAATTTTTCAACTGAATAAAAGTTTGCTGTTTGAAATTTATTTGAATATCATTTAAATATTTATATTAAATTATGTATTATACAATTTTAAACAATTTAAAAATCATACAATTAGAAAACATAATAGCTTTTGGTTTACAGTAGTTTGAATCAAGTAACTTTAAATTTAAAATGTTAAGCTACTAAGTTAAAATTTCCTATACTAAATAGCTAATTTCCTACAAGTCATAATAAATAACAATGAATCTGTTTTTAATAATTGACTGTGTGCTTATTATGCAGTGATGAAAAAAAATGTTGCGAACAAATCTTGTTCTATTGAAACGACTAATATTTCATCCATTGACGTTGACAGTTTACCATGCATCAGTTACTGAATGTGAGTATTTAAGTTTTAATTAGGTATATATTTTTTTTTATTTATTTACATTATTTGTATTATTTATATTGTATTTACATTACAATAATTGTTGGTTTTTAAGCAAAGTTCTTAGGTATATAGTCACTTAGTATTTTTTTAAATATATATTTGTATAGTAACTATTTTTTTGAATATTAAACTATAATATTAATATATTATTATAAATTAATTAAAACAGTTGACCGTATACTTATTGAATATTGTGTAGATGAAAAAAAAAATATCGTGGAGAATTTTTGTACCTTAGAAACAATTACCCTTGACATTTTATCAGAATTTAATTAATTTTAGTAATATAAAGTTATTTGTTATTTAATTATTGTGGTGTTATTTTGTTTTAATAGTTCACTTAGTTGACAGCAGTCTTAATTTGACAGATCTTTACAAAACAAACGATCATCAAACTGATTCAATTTCAGAGTGCGATAATAAGAATATTTATTATCTAGGGTATAATATACTATATTATCTTAAGTTATAATTTTAATTATTAATCTACTTTCTTAACAGAATTGATCCAGTCATGTAGGTAATAGCTGATATTTTAAGAGATTTTGTATGTAGTTATGGTTTCAAGATCTGGAAAATCTAAATATTTCCAATTCTAAAAGATCATACACAAATGTCTAAAAGGTGTCAATAGAACTTTTTCAGGTACTAAAGTTTTACACAATTTTAAATTTCTACCTTTAAAATTAATTAATTTTGTAATTAGATACTTTAACAAAAATTGTCTTCAAACAACTCTACAAAATGGAGAAAAAATAGCACGTAGTTACTTGGTCTATTCAGAAAGCAAAGGAGCTCTTTTTTGTTATCCTTGTATGATACTTGGTAAAGTAACTAATTTTGCAACAACAGGATTTTCGTTACGGAAAAAAACAAAAGAATGAATTAAAGAACATAATTAATAATAATAAATAATTCAATAAAGCATCGAAACTGTATAATTAAATTGAAAAACTATAGCAAGGTATATTGCAGAATTGATCTGCAATTAGATAATCAGATTAATGATGAATGATTTTATTGGATAAATGTTTTAAAGAGAGTAGTATTAGTAGTCAAATCATTAGCGTCAAGAGGATTGTCATTTAGGGGTCATGACTCAAAAATAGGAAGTTCTCGTAATGGAAATTTTTTAATGGGCTAAGAGTTAATTGCCAAGTTTAATTCATTTCTTGCTACTCACTTCTCAAAATATGGTAATCTCGGAAAAGGAAAAACTTCTTACACGTCATATCAAACTTATGAACAGTTTATTTATATTATGGCTGAAGAATCACAGAAAACCATTATCGAAGAAATAAAAATTGCCAGATATTATTCTATAAGTGATGACTCGACACCCGATATTGCGCATACAGATCAATTATCTTTCATTGTGCAATATGTAAAAGAAGATGGTCAACTAATAGAAAGATTTTTATGCTTTATTGAAGATGTTGGGCATAAGTCTGAATAAATTGTTACTGCTGTCTTTTTAATTTTTGACAAGTATAAATTAGATCTTAAACATTTAAGAGGGGAGTCGTATGATAATGCCAGTAATATGGCTGGTATATATAATGGATTACAAGCAAGAATTAAAAAATCGAGTCAACATGCACAATTTGTTCCTTGTTCGGCACATTAACTTAATTTAGTTGGCATAAATGCTGCTAGTTGTTGCCAAAATGCGGTATATTTTTTTGACTTGCTTCAAAAATTATACATATTCTTTACATCTTCAACTCATTGCTGGAAAATTTTAAATTTGAATGTAAAAAGTTTATCAGAAACAAGATGGTCAGCTCGCGATGATGCTTGTAAAGCACTAAATAAAAATAGAGAATTCATCATAAATGCTTTAGAAAAAAATTGATCAAGATGTTACAGAAAAGCCAGTTACCCGTTGTGAAGCCAAAGGTATTATTAAAAAAATTAATACCTTAGAAATATCATTACTTTCATTATTTTGAGGTGATATTCCTAGTATGTTAGATTTAATAAATGTAGTAGAAATCTAAAATCAATTGAAATTAAATTTGGGTACAGTCATAGAAATTTATTAGTCATTAATTACTTATGTAAATGACCTCCGTACAGATGAAGAATACAAACATTATTCAGATCTGGCAATTTCAATTTCATCTGAAAATTAGAAGTCCGAGAACAAGCAAAATGTCTTCAAGATTTATATGTAGATGATTTAAGAAGTTATTTTCCCAATGAATGTGTTCACTTTAAATCGCATAAAAAGAACCTTGAAGTTGATGAAACACCAAAAAGTATTCAGCAAATGCTTGTTTTTATAAAAAATAATGATTTTTCTGAAATGTATCCTTATATTGTTATTGCGTTAAGAATGTTTTTATGTACACCATGTACCAACTATTTCACTGAACGGTCTTTTTCAGCTTTAAAAAGGGTTAAATCATATATAAGAAAAATATAAAAAAAGGAAAGACTAAATGCATTGGCAATCCTAAATATTGATAATGACCTTACCACTAAACTGAATTATAACAATGTTATTAATATTTTTGCTGCTAAGCAAGCACGCAGAAAATTGTAAATTTATATTATTTTAAAAGCTGATGAAGACCATTTAGAGGAAAAGTTTTTATACTTCAACTTAAAAATTTATTTTTTATTATATCTAATAAATTTTTATAAATCGTTTTTTCAATTAATTTTTTTTGAGTTGGTAGGGATGCCAAAAATATGTTGCCCCGGGACGCAAATTTTTCAAATGCACCCCTGTCTATAACCATGATTTCGTTATCAGTAAACAGTCCACCGACTACAACGTTATCATCGATTGTAGCATACGATTGAAATGTAGTTAGTTAGGTTAGGTTAGTAATATTAGTTTGTTTATTGATTTATTTTTTTACCATTCCAATGGCGAATACATTACGACTCATATGCATATAAAATGTGTTTGGTTAAAAATGGTTGCTGTTTACCCAACTTGATCCGAAGATTCCAGCTCGGATAAGCTTTTGTCGGAACATCATGTACTCTTTACAGTAAACATACAGAGGGTCAGTGGTGTAAACTGGTTGGTCCAAAGGTATGTTTTTACACCACCATAAAGTCATTGAAATTTATACATATAATATTATTTTCAAGAGCCAAGGAAATCAGCATACTAAAAACAAAATTTAATTGTTTTTTACTTTTCTTAATATTATAATAATAAAGGTTTTACTACTAAAATAAATCAAAATTTATTTGTTATTTAAAGAAATAAAGTATATGAAAAAAATATATAGTTTTTACTTAGGAAATTGGAAAATTGATGTGTTGAAAATTATAAGTTGAGAATATGCCTCTGCACCACCAGAAATTGGATCCAATTTACGCTACTGCAGAGAGTGTTATTTGGGAAATAACAGGGAGGGAGCACTCTGATACCCCTAATTATTTTAATGTTAAATCGGTTTGCCTAACTTGCAAACTTTTTGCACCGATGACCCATACGTAAAAGATCAAATGTATAATGTAATGTATTACCTACTTAAGTAAATTGTAAATTTCTAAATTCTTTGTACGATCATAGTATTATAATTACATTAGTAATAATTTTGATTCGTGAAATATTAACTTTCATAACCTACTCATGCGCCCCCGGATGAAATACATGTATTTACATAATATTATAATAATATTATTCAATAATAAAAATCAAATGGTATGTCGTAAAACAAATTGATCTGTTTAGATGCAATTTATTAAAATAAATTATAAAACGTGCTTTAATAGTACGATCATTTTATTTTTAAAAGAATCACCATGCCGTCGTTGATTCCAAACGAATCGCGTTATAGCTAATGGTTTTGCAATGTTTTTCGTAAATGTACATGTGTGCGGGTGCACATAATAATACGTTTTTGACTGTTTAAGAACTTGACGCGACTTTCGTGTCTCTACAGATTCCGAAATAAAACACTGTTTATACGTCGTCTCGTAATGTTTGAAAATCGAGATTAAGATCGTGAGAGAATACATACTAGATGCACACACGTGACACGCATAATATTTACCGTTTCCGAGTAAAAATCGTTTTTCAACTCGCGATCATAAATCGTTTGTTATTTCTTAACACTATTTATTTGATTCGTAAACGTATCTTTTTAAGATCGTACCTACAGAGAAAAAAAACACTAAGCGCATTACATTGTTATTACGACATTTTACGCTTCACACTCACTTGGAATGAAAAAAAAAGTGCTGTAATTTAAAATCATGGCGCGAAACTTTCGAAATAACATTTGCCTTTGGCAAAATGAATTTGATTCCTTTTCCCGGCACTTTTGGATAGATAAAAATATGTATAAGTTGTTTAAAGTAAACGAAAAAACAGCTCTTAGAGTTGTATGAAGTTTTTTTTTTTTACGTAATCGGTTCAAAGTTTGTCTTCGTGTCCGCGCACGGGCTACGCACGTCCGGGCTTCATCCCGAGGGTACTATATTTTCTCATTTATACGAAGAAAGGTCCCCGGCCTTGGCCGGAAATCGTCAAGTATAGCAGTACCTACATATATACATTGTTTCCGTGAAAAATTGCGAAAACCAATTCAAATGATGTCCATATTACTGCAAATGTTTGGTCTCGACGTTCATTGGTTTTGCCGGAGCAATATATCCGATTTTATTTTTTATTTTTTATTTCTCAAAATCCTGTTCTCGAAATGAACTATATACGTAATATCTATGTGCTTGTATTATCCGTATAATGTTAGCGTATGCAAAGCTAAAAATAAAACATTGCAGAACGCGCAATATTCGGACGGTAACACATTTATTCAATTTTAAGAATTGGAACGTTAAAACACCAACCGAGCTTGACTTTTCATGATTAGTGAACGAAGCGCAGTACCAAAGTTCGCATTAAAACTAAATGTAAAATAATTTTATTTCTTTTTAGGTTTTATTTCCAAGATGTAGAGTACTTAAAAAATGCATGAATTAAAACAAATTAAAAAAAAAAAAAAAGTATTCGAAATACTTTTACACTTCTTTTTATGGAATATGTATCTTATTTTGAAAACTCGGAACGGGACATATGTGGTCTAACCGTGACCCGTGGATTGAGCATCATTGTCTTATGTGAAGTTGTGAACACCCGACCACGTGCACTGGGAACGGGAGGTGAGCTTGTTTCAAATTTAGAAACTTCTAACCAGATTTCTCTAAATGTTTCTGGGAAATGTAATAATAATATAATAATAGTTAATTGTATAAGTGTTTTACATGTAAAAATAAGATGTTTAAATTGTCAAATCAAACCAATTTCTACTTATCACATTTCTTTAATTTGCCGTACACACTATCTCAAAATGGTGTGTAAAATTAAAATCGTAAAAAGAACATTTTTTTTTTCGTGAACATTTGCAAAATATGGGTTCCCGGTCCAATTAATATTTAAGCCCGAGTCTTCATACTAATAACTAGAAATCAATGGAATTGCACCTGTATAACTATTTGATTTTAAACTAAATGCATGCCGGAGGAGCGAATCAGTAAACTGATCGAGAGCGACTGACGGTCGGGCTCGGTTTTAGTATTCACTATTACACGTTTTAATTTTTCCGGCACCGAATAAAACATCACCAAAAGGGAAACGACTAGTATGCATATTATAATCGGTCCCGAGACGGTGATTTTCCAGCAGCCGCCGCGCCGTTGTTTATTTACACGCATTATTAGATTTTTCTCGTTGCAACATAAATTATTACGACCGTCCGAACAACTTATCGTCGTCCTAGGTGCCATGGGAGGAGCTACAAAGGATAAGAACGAGAAAAACGTGAATAATGAAAAAGTTATAATAAATAATAAAAAACATCGATCACGAAATAGATATACCCCGAAAACAGGATAAAAATTATTTACTTTTAATTACGCTTACTCAACAGCAGTTTCATAATAAGATGAGTATCCTCAAAGTGATCAGTTTTGCCTTTAATAGTATGTACCTATCACTGCCAACATATTTTACAAACGATTAATATAATTTAATATTTAATATTATTGATATCATTACGATAATTGTACAATAATAATTATTATTAATACCATAAGTAAGACATTCGTTCACAAAAACGATCTTGTGAAATAAATAATGAACAAACATTTCTAGTATTTTTCCTCGATAAAACTTCTTATTTCTCGACGCTGTGTTTTAAATTTCACATTCCGAAGAAGACAGTTATTTTAAAGAAATACAATAAAAATGACAATTTTCTCTAACCAATCTATAACCAATTTTCGAAAAGTGCTTAAATTGTTTAAAAGATCGTAATGCGAAGTGGACATGTCAAACGAAACGTTTCCGCCGATCTTAATATAATTATAGTTATCGCGTTAAAAAAAAAAAAACCTTTTGGAAAAATCGTTTTGTGAAACCACGAATTTTATAAATATTTTTGTCCGAAAACGTGTAAATCTATATGACGGAGGTAATTGTTCGGATTAAATCGCAATGAATAAAAACGCACTATTTATACGCATCTTAAATCGAAATTTTATTAGTAAAACAATTATGTTAAAAAAATTGTCCGAGTTTAAAAACATTTAAAGATATATTATTGGTACTTTTTACCTTGAATAGTCTGCCCTGGAGAAAATCTCGAAATCGGATACCGGAAAATTGGCTCTCCTAAGTACTGTAAATTTTTTTTTAATCTTCACCATTCATTTGGAAGTTATTTGACAGTATTTACAAGTCAATTTTTAGAATTTGCAAATCATTCAGATGTCCCTATAAGATTTTGAACTTATGAAGTTGGTCTGCCCAATGAAGAAATGAAATAATTATTGGTTGTTATTCTAATATATATAAGTACATTAATATATGGGTATGTATAATATCATTTTCTGATGTCTCTTAGTGACTCGAAAATATTTTCTACAATCATTATTTTTTGTTTGATACCCGCTTCGAAGTTTCCGGTCAAAACATCACGCCAACTGTACAAATTCAAAAATTAGTGGCTCCTTGGATGACTTTCAAATTTGAAGGATAGACATTCGAACTCTCGAAAATTAAAAACTATTGTTTGGTACCGTTAAAAAGAACTTAAAATGGATTTAGTGAGCTAAATTCGTAACTTTAAAAGCTTTTACTGGTCACACGGTTCACTTGTAAATTATGGAAAAATGGACTAGCAAATTTTTGATACCTATATGGAAATCCTGGAAAAACTTTGGTCACCTAATTTCACAAGATCAAAAATTTATGGCGACCACTATAATGATTTGCAAATTCCAATAACGGATTTGCAAATACATGCAAATATCTTGCAACATATTAACATAGATTTAAAAAGAATACATAACTTCGGTGGGCCAGCTTCATGAACGTGAGCTTATTATGTTTATTTATTTTATTAATCGCTTAAAATTTTCCCCCAACCCTCCCTATCCGTTATTGCGGTAATTTTATAGGCACCCGTAGACAGTATATATTATTATATACACATCGCACTCGCCTGCTGCGCGAAAAAAGCCGGTCAAGTCGCGGTAATTTATCGTACAGGGTGTGTGCGCGAGTGTGGTTTATTTATCGGTTACGGTATAATTTCAATGGTATTGTTTACATTAAGAAACCATTACGTGAACATTACAAGACGATCAATGCTCGTCTCACCTGTGCAATAACGTTAAAACCATTAACCAATGTACGGTTTTTATATGGCCCAACACCCAACGGAAAATCGATTTCTAGGAAAATAATTTTGGTTGTGAAAAGTTGCAAGATTCTATTCACAACAAACGTTTCCTGGCCTATTATCTCCTTTCCTGATATTATCGATTACGAACTATTTAACACGCACGATTTTACAAAATAAATGATATATCTCAGCGCATAGTTTTATTTATTAAATTGTTTTCTACTTAAAAAAAAAATAAAATAAAATAACCGACAACTATAATTATTAATCTCAGAGTAATTTTTAACACTTTTGATAACGTATAACGTGTTTCGTTAAACATGCTTTTATGAAAACGTTTACTGTTTAAAGTTACAACACACAGTGTTTTATACGCTTAAAATACCAACTTAAAATCAAGAAAAACCCCTTTTGTTTGAGAATATCATTAAAAAAGAAAAAATATGATTATTTCGAATTTTAATAATTCTATATTTTCTGACAACAGATTAACTCATCTACTATTATACAAATAGATTCTATATACGTGCCACAGAGATCCAATGTCTACCGATTGTATTATATTTTAGGTATATGATGGGGATATCCAATCTTATGGGAAAAAACATCAATCGCGTAGAAGTTTTTATGGACTGTATAAATCTTTATAATATTATTAATTCAATTTGTAAACTACACTAACGTATAAATGCAATTTATTTATAATTCAATTTGGTTATAATAATTAAAAGATACATTTATTTATAATAAAAATAACAAAATAAACTACTGCGAAATTTCAAATTGTTTTTTTTTTTCCAAATTCTATAAAAGTATAAGATTCTTAGTGAGAACCGCATTCAAATATACCACCCCTTTTATATATAAAGAGAGAATCGGGTCATAGAGTTTCAAAATCTGTCTAATCGTTGTAGTATACATATTCAATGTTGATGAGGTTGAAATAAACCAAAAAACTTTACGGTATCTAGGTACAGCAGGTCGGCCGTTCTCTAAAACTGTTTGCTTAGCGATCACTGTGTATTTTAATTCGTTTGTAGAAGTAATTTACCAGTGATTTATGCCGATTGTCATTTATAACATTTGAATCTTCAAAATGTTCTGGTTCAAATGTTCCGCGTATCGTTGATAATTATTGAAACATATTACATAGTGACCATCACGGTATACAAGGTACATGGTGAAAGTTGTGAATAGTATTGGAGGATATATTATACACTGTGATCGATAAATTACAAGAACTTGGTGTTCAAATTATACGCTATTTTCCCTGATTATTGCGTCCCGTCTATTAAGGCTTATCTTTAAGCTCATTTGGACTTATTGTGCGTGTTTGGTAAAGCTGTAAGAGCACTTGATTTCAAACTTTCAGCTTTCGCACTTTTAATTGCTTTATTTTTATTATTGATACGTTCATAGACTTATGGAAGATATAATACAGCCGTGCAATAATGTGCAATTTAAAATAATACAATTTGATCGATCCCGTGTAAATGTTTTTAAACAAAACGTATAAGCGTAATCCGATGGATTAATTTGTGTATATTTCTTGTTTTATTTTGAGCATTTCGAATAAAATTTACAAACCGCCTTGTAGTGCTATCGATAGCATGTAGTTATATTCTATACGAATATTAAATGAGTAGACGACGTCAGTAGGCTATTCTTTATTTTCGGATACTATTATAAGCAGGTATTTATTAACAGTGTGTATTATTCGTTATTGTTACAGGGATACAAAGTTGCGAGGTTGAGTGACGTGCTGACGCCGCTTGAAAATTTGACGTACATGACGTTCGGTACCTTGCCGTCTAGGGTGTCTTACTCGCCGGCTAATCGTGCGTACGTGGTGAAAGGGCATTCTGGTAATTTCAGAAATGACTTGGCGAAAAAACGAAAAGACGATCAGCGAAAGTACAAAATGATGCCGCGGTGGGAGTACCTACTGCGACGGATGGTGCCGAATGTCGGTTTGCCGTTTGGATACCTCAAAGACCTAATGGGAAAAGGATCGAGCATCAGTCCTCGGCTTTTAGGTTTCCTCGGCCAAGGCACCGGTGGAGATAAAGACAATGATGATCTTGACGATGTTACCGATGACGGTCTTGATGATGATACCGATAATGAAAACGGAACTGATGATGGAAACGGTACCAATGATGAAGGAACAGGAACCGATGATGGAAACGATACCAATGATGGAGATGGTACCGATGACGGAAGAGCTGGTGCAGATGATAAAGGAACAGGAACCGATGATGGAAACGATACCAATGATGGAGGAGCCGGTGCAAATGATGAAGGAAACGACACCAATGATAAAGGGGACGGCACCGGTGACAAAGGAGACGGCACCGGTGACAAAGGAGATGACACTAATGATGTAAGAGACAGTGATGACAATGGCGATGGCCAAAGTAAACCGAAAAAGGATGATAAAGGTGGTTATAAATTTCCATCTTTTCCGTCTATTCCGTTTAAGCCGTCTATGCCATCTATGCCGTCTTCATTCCCATCTATGCCATCCATGCCGTCTTCATTCCCATCTATGCCATCCATGCCGTCTTCATTCCCATCTATGCCATCTATGCCATCTTCATTCCCATCTATGCCATCTATGCCATCTTCATTCCCATCTATGCCATCTATGCCATCTTCATTCCCATCTATGCCATCTATGCCATCTTCATTCCCATCTATGCCTTCTATGCCATCTTCGTTCCCGTCTTTATGGAACAGCGGTAATAAAAACGGCGACGGGACAGGCACCGACTATAAGCAAAAGATGAAAGACGTATTGCAGAGCGATCTTACCAAATCTTTGGCTAAGTCCGGCATCGGCATGTTGCCGGGAGGAAATGCGGCTATGACGGCTCTTGATATTGGTTCGAAGTTAATGAACAAAGGAGGCCAGGATGAAGTTATGGACGACCTAGTGGAAGACGCAGTAGAAAGTGACGTTGGTCAATCGGCTATAAAGGGTTTTATCGGGTTTCTACCGGGAGGAGATAAGATTGTTAAAGCGATGGAAGCTGGTTCGAAAATGGAAAAAGCGACCAAAAAAATACCGGGGATATGATCTTTGGTCAACAGTATAACGAAATATTTTTTTCGAAAATTGTGTAACCCAACTTAATATTATATTCGTCTCAAAAATCATTGAAATTATAATGGGATTTATTACCGTAACACTATATTATTTTCGATGACAGGATATTATATACGAAAAATAGCGAGAGTTCTATAATAACTTCGTAAAATAATGTAATAAATTAAAAATAAATGTTTGTATGTATGTTTTACATTTAATTAAATATCCGTAGTAAATGATAATAATCAAAAATTCATGTCACTCGAATGGTAAATATTTTTAAATGAAGAGTAAATATTTTACTTTTACAAAAACTACGCGTTAATTGCTTGATTGTATTCGAATATTGTATGCGAACGAAGAAAAAAATTTTCCCTATGATTATTTTACATACAGCTAAAACGGAAAATTGTATTCGAAAAACACAATAATAATGAATAAGCAAAATAATACATGCATTTGAACAGTCAATACTATTGTGAAAACATACATTTTTGAGTTTATAGTAGCTTTTGTAATTTTAATTTAAAAATAAACGGAAAACAATAAGTATTAACGAAAATAATATAAATTTACATATATTCTTTCTCGTAATAAACGTCATATCTATCGTTCAAATCAAATTTGGACAGACAATTTGGTTCACGATTTATTAACTTCTTCTATATCTTAAAATCTAATATGGAAGAAGTTAGTACGGAAATAGTGAGTGCTTACTATTACACTTTATGTGTTATCGTATTTGCTTAAGTGTACGATAATATTGACGCCAATACGTGGAACGTTGAGTTGAGCATGGTCGTTCGACGCCGTCCGATTTTTAGCGTTGCATTGAATGATATGCACATTTGTAAGGATTTAAATAATTCGAAGGATTACGGTGCATTTACGCGGAACAAAATGGTTGACGAAAATCGTTTTGCCGTACCATCCGCTTGCCTGCTAGACCACGGTTCTCAATATAATATGGCTCGGGCGATTTTTTTTTTTATTTTTTTTTTTGATTCTCGTGTTCACGCGCCGAATAAAAAATCAATAACCGATTCATTTTATCGGTGTACACAATATCATTCCAGCGACGCAACTAGGATCTTTGGGTCCCGATGATAAGGTAATTCTGGGGCCCAATGACTATCAAAGTATTCATAGTAAACCATTTTTATTCGATACTAATTGCTAAAATTAAACGCACTACTCAATTATTTCGCGTTAAGAATACTCTCCAAGTTTATGCCCGTTTTGAGTCTTAGGTTAGTTCAATACTAACATTTACAGTTTTTTTTTCTTCGTGGTCGAAAGCTAAACTTTCGCGTTACCTCTCCAACTTGAAAGATGTAAGTAATATATATTTCTCAATTAATTAATATTATGCTTTAGCAATTAACAATGTTTGTTCTTTCTTTTTGTCGTTTTGTTGTTTTAAATTATTTTATGTTTGGATCTCATATTATTATGAAATAAAAACTAATTCACCCGACCGCTTCGCACTTAACGCATGAATTAAATTGTTTTAAAAATATTCGGGTCGATTAACAACTGAATAACACGCGGACGGCAAAAGCAAATGGATGGTGTTTTTCCGAGTAACTACTCAACGTTATTGTATATTCTAATATCAACAGGAGCAGTGGCGCGCGGTCGACCACTTTTCGTCGTACAAAATCAACAAAAATACCCGTAAGAATATTAACAAACTTTTGACTAATTTCCTTTGATGTACCGCCATTCGAGCGATGACGATCGAAGTCGAATGGCACTCACTGTTAGGACTACTTCAAAGTCCGCCCTGATATCTACGATGGTGAGACGAGTGGGGGGGTTATAATTTCCTATCCTCACGGATTTTTCTTACCATATGATTTTCATAATAATTACCAAAATTATTTTAAAAATGTTAATGTGGTTCGATGTGAACCAAGAAATTAATTATTAGGCAATTAATGGAACTATAAAAAATATTCCTTTGTCGACGTCTATCAACTGTACATTTTTTTTTTTATATATTCTTTGAAGAGTGAATGTATATTTTATTCATATATCAATAAGTTCCCGAAATCGTTAATCGCGTATTTCTTACAAACTTCCGATCGCGTACGCGATCATTATTGCGATCAGTATAGATCAGTGGTCCTCAACCTTTTTTTGTTCACGGCACACCATTATACATCACAAGTTTTCGCGGCACACTCATGCACTTGACAACAACAACAATTTTGGCTAAATGCTAAGATATCCAGTTGGGTTAAAACCATACAGTTTACCTACATATGTATCTGCAAAATGAATTGACATTTAACTGTCATAGTTTCATCAGTCGGTATTTTCAAATATCAGACATTTTTCACGGCACACCTAGTCGATCCCGCGGCACAGCAGTGTGCCGCGGCACACTGGTTGAGAACCACTGGTATAGATAAACGTTGAGTGCATTTTCATTTCTATAAGTTTTGCGCGATTTCAACCTGTTCGAAGTACATAGTATCAGACAATGTGATTGCTATAATTTAAGTGTTGACATTTTTATCGTTTCTCACTCTTTTCCGTTATTTATTTATTTATTTATTATTTTATTTTATTTTTTTTTTTTTGTTTAACTTCATCTCAAACTTATAAAGCTAATGTTCGCATAACTATAGATCACAGCAATTATAGTTTCACTGATTATTTTATTTCCGTAGAATATTTCAATTTAATTAGTTCGGTTCGCAGTACATGGTGAATCTTATCTGTAAATCTCGTATGATGTACTTGATTCGTGTATAATATATACATATCATGCAATATAATATGAAACATACAACATTATTGATTGTATATGTTTAATTGAATAAAAATAATTCAAAGTTCAAAACCTGGTCGTCATTTTCGTATAGATATTTTTAACTTGTAAGGTCATCGCAAACGTTCGGTACGTGGTCGTGAGTTACCAAACAGCCGTCCACGTCGATCAGTATCGAAATATAATCTGAAATTCGTCAAGTTACGTTATGGAAACGAGCGTGAGTTTTTTCTAATTCGCTAAGAAGCGATCGCGGTGTTCTGTAACAGACGAACGGATGGTACCCGTATTTAGTTTGGCATTTCCATTTACTGTTGTCAACAGATTTTGAAATTACATGATTAAAAAATACAATATTGCTCGTTGTACGCGTTACGGTAATGTTCCATCGACGTGACGATTCGGTAACAGTGGCAACGCGATGTGGATTTTATTCAAGCAGCTACTTCACTGGTAAAATTGGATGGGTAGATTAGACAGAAAAGTTTAATACATAATTTGCACATTTGACATAAACTATTACTCTATATTATTTTGTTTGGAGCGGTTAATTTTAATATTTATGTACTTGCAATTACTTTGAATTGTAATTTTTGACTTGGGATGGGTACTCGATACAAGTAACTGCTTCGTTAGAAAATAAACTTCCCGTCGCCACTAATTACCATGATTTTTTTCACCGTTTCTCGCGAACCGTGCATGTTCTGTCGTACGCACCGCAGTACACCACGGAAAATCCCTTTTGACCCTCACGACGCGTCGGACGACAGAGGTGATGGTTCGGAGTCCAACAAATTCCCACGCCGTAAAACGTAACGAGTAGAATATCACGTACGTAAGCTCCGGCAAGAACGAAAGTACACCGGTACGTCAGTCTCGACAGGAAATAAATGGACCGGTACGCAAGTTCTACGCGAACAAAAATACAGGGATGCAATTTCCTGCGCAGTGACGAAATCAAATGCGTCACTTCCTGAACTGTACAAATTAATAATGAGTTGTTTGTATAGCCGTGTACTCGATGTATAGGAATTCGATGTTCAATTGAAAATAGGATAAGACTTAGTTTTTCTATGAAACTCAACATCAGAAAAATGTCAACCACACCGATTACCTGTTATCAATTTTAAGTGGTAGTCCAGTAAAAAAGAAGTATATGTTTTTTATGCATTTTGTTCGTATAGGAATGGACGTATATCAGTTGCTTTTTTATTCGCGTGAGGACCAACATTCGTACGATTATTCCGTTTTACCGCGTTTTTTTAGAAACCGCACGGGTTAAATCGTATGTTATTGTTTCACCAACGACTGTTGTCGGTGTTAGAAAACCGTCAGTTTTCTCGTATCACCGATGGTTGACAAACGCCAACAGTGCAGTCGGTGGAATTTCGTTCTACATTAAAAGACATAAAAGACGGTTCCAACACGTGTGCGTGTCAAAATTTCATTTGATGTTTAAATGACTTAAACGTGTTCATGTGTACACGTAGGTGTACGTTCGATTTGATCATAAACTGATTTTTATTTCGGAATATAAAAACACATTTTTGATCTACAAAACTGTACGGACATTGCTGTGGTATAAATTTGATGGTAAAACGAGTATGTGCTCGAAATATAAATGAATATGTAAAAAAAATTAAAAAAAACTGTTTTCATATCATGTAGAGTAATTATAATTTGTTTCTAAAACTATAAACAAAGTGGGTATAAAATACAACTTAAAAATTATAATTCTATAAAACAATTATAGGTAACATATGTGTACATAAATGAGATAGTGTAGTTAAAAAAATAAAACAATAATATAATAAAACAAAAAAAATAAATAGGTATAAAACATTTAGGCGATACCGAGACGTTGAGACGCAATTTCAAATATCTTTAAAAACCGAAAGTGATATTTTCCCGTAAATTTGATGACTAATCATTAAATTTAATATTTTCGTTCTACCGTGCCGCGTGTAAAAACCGAATAAGTTTGTTACAAGTGATACAATCAAACGACGACTAACCGTTCGTATTGTTTACCTGTACGTGAAATCGTTTTTAGCTATTTGTACGATAAATATTGCTAACTACGACCGCAGCGTGTTCGGGTGGTTAGCATAGGGTTTTACACGAACAACGCATCGAGCGCTACGACGGGTCGGAACAATAATTGTCGTTTTCCTAAAACGGCTTACACTGAAATTACACCGGTACAACAATAATAATTATAATAATAACAATAACAATAATAGTAATATTTGATTTTATATAGTATAATATGTTGTATTTGTTCTATTAAAAAAAATAATAAAAGACTCATTAAATCCAGAACAGTGTATTATGTGCGTGCAACTATCGATACTCGAATAATCGGTTACGTATTTGCGTGATATTACTATTACCATCGTTTATTGTTCGATGAGCTCCAAATAAACTCGTGCGGAACGGATTTAATGAGCTGTGTTTTCGACGCGTGCGTTAGTTTTTCGTCTTCAACCCGTACGTGTTCCAATCTGAAAACACAGATAGGAATCATTGAAGGGACGGGGTCCGCGCGCGGCCGTGCACCACTTACCGGCGATGTGATTCTGGAGGTCACTCATCACGGGATACCAGTCGGCGCTCGAGTAGTTCAACTTGGGCTTCTTGCCACCGTAGTCCTCGGGCAGCGTGTTCACGTCCAAGTGCTTGTGCAGGGACGACATCTTGGTGCCGTGGAAGAACAACTGCAACAAGAACGCGTTGCTGAAACGGGTCTTCGGCGCGCGGTACCTACCCGGTGAGGGACGGGTCAGGGACGGACGGACGGCGTGACGTTCGATCAAATCGAACACCACGCCATGACGTTGCCGCGCGCGTACCGGTGCCGAAACCTATGTTCACCAAGCGCGCCTGCGGGATAAGATCCCACCCGGGACAAGATTAAAATTTTAAGGGCCAAAACAACGTGTATCTAAAAATAGATGAGAACAAAATAAAATATCACAGAAATCGGTACTCAGGAGAGTTTATAGTTTTAAGCGATATGCAGTCATGTACAAACATTGTAAACTAATAAATACATTCAAGATTATCTAAAAATATAATACATTTTACTAAAATTCATAAATGGATCTCAATAAAATTATGTTATAATTGATATGTGTGGTATTTTAAATTAACAATGGTTTTGAAACAAAAATTCCCAGTAGAGGCAATGGCCCATTTGCCCTCCCTTGCGGGCGCTCATGATGTTCAAACGTACGACCAGTCACCTAATCGCCTACCCACCCAACCGCTCACCCATCAACACAAGGTTTGGAAACGTTCTGCTAAGCGTATGTTCCTCGGGTATATTTATCAGAAGAGTACCGATTATGACTAGTTTTCTAACATTCAAAATTTCTTCGAGGAATATTCTTTCGCGGGATTTGACTTTATTTCAGTTTCCCGGTCACGGGGAGGGGGGGGGTTGACCCGCTGCCAGAATGAAACCGTACACGTATGGCGACCACTGCTGGGTTACTCACGCGGTTCTTGAGCTTGTCACCCACGAACTGCTTGAACATTGGCCACACCATGTTGAACAGGAACGGCTGACGGACGATGTGCACTTCCTTCAAGCGTAACGGCATGGATTCCTGCGTGCAGTGAAAGGATTATTAAAAAAATAAATAAATAAAAATAAAAACACCGTCGCCGTCGTAACGGGCGAAAGGCACGCGGACACGACCAGGCCGAGACGTAAGCATTTTTTTACACGATGTGCGTTATGTTGTACGTTGTGCGTGCAAAGGCGTATTGCAGCGATAAGTCGCCACTATTTGTGCGAATTTGATTATTTATCTCGCGCGGTCGCTTATTGATTTTTAATCGGTTTTGCGCGATTACAAATTTATCGTTGATTTTTCGAATAAGAGTTGACTCTTAACGCATTCGTGATATTATGCCACGTGAGTAAATGCATTAGTTTTAATCTCAAAGAAATATATTCCATCGGTCGGGTCTATCGTTTGATCATCATTTCATTTCACTACTGTACTTTGAACCGGTTTCAGGTACATAACGTCCTCCTAAGTAAGACTATCCCCGCAAACATTTGTTGATGGGAACAATGTTTTTACGATAACACATCTCAGTCGAGGGAAAAGAAAATCAAAAAACCTAATCCGTTTTTAACATAATAGCTGCCGAAGAATCCCTCGGTGAGGTACAACACACGCCAATTCACACGTGACACTCTGTAAACATTAATGTACTCGGATATTGATACTGCGTTCGTGTGATGTGCACACAAAGACCGCCATGGTGCAATAATGTCAAGGGCGAAACATCAATAATAATAAAAATGTACGAGTAAGTCCAAAGTTACAAACGTATTTTATGGCGATAAGTATGATAATAATAATCTCTATAATACGATGATATTCTATGATACCATTATAATGACCTGTCGTTATCACGTGCGTTATCTTTGTGAATTCGGGTTGCTAATTTTCGCGTTACTTGAACTTACTTGAATGTACAGAAGTAATGTCATGGCGAACGACGGTGACATGGCCATGACCTGTTTGGTGGAAAGACCGTGGAAGTCGATGATTATGACTACGCCGCGCACTTGAGTCTCTTCTTCCACCAGAGAAGCGACTTGGATCATATAGAGCACTTTGAACAGCTCCTCGCTGGTCATACGCTTCGGGTCCCAGGCCGCTGGAAACATGTTCGAAATCGATTACGTCGACCGACGATGAACATTTACGTGGTGATTTTAACGCGTGACAATGTTAAGTTGACGGTTTAACGATGCGCGTTCCCCGACCCTGATTACGAGTGAAAACCACGAATCCTTCGACTTCGACTTCCTACGTCGAGTGTGAGGATCTTTCAACCGAAACCGTTATTGCACCGATTGTTCACAAATCGAGTAACAATAACACCCATTCCGGCCTTTGCACTACACATATATATATTCTAGTACTGAAGCTTCCGTAGCGCGCGTGCAATATTATTGTGTTGCGGAGATATTTAACGATTGAAAAATTATTATTTAGTATGTGGAGCTCAAATTTCCGACGGAAATGTATGTGACAACGAATATTAAGTATCATGGCGTACGCGCACACGTACCTACGAAACGTATTTTTCAATCGGGACTACTACATTGAATAGAACGAAATGGGTATACTACGGTACGTACCATTTCATCGGACAATGGTTTTAATAAAAAATAATAATAGTTCTTTTTTTTCTACATTCGTACACGCGCTGACCTTTTCCTTGTTTAATTGCACTCGTACGAGTCGGTAAATCGTATAACACAACACTTGTTGGAAACGCTTACAGAATATTATCGCAAACGCCCGCCAGGTCGGAGAGTGTTCTAATTAAATATAAATCAGAAACAATTATTATTAGCAATCGTCGGCGACGGCACAAAACGTTTTCATTTTTCTGGTTAATTGAATAGATTAAAGTTATGCAACTGCGAAGTATTTAAATGAGCCGGTGTTTTTTTTTTTTTTTTTTTACGTTAATTTATCGAAACCCTAGCGTATAACACGTGCGAAAAGCGCTACAACGGTAAACTGTGGTATAATTATTCTGTTGTTCGACTGTTGCGATTATGCTGCGTCGTTTGCGTCTAACACATTGCAAAAGTTAAGGGAAAAACTATTTGGCCGGAGCATAAGTTTGCGTCAAACCGTATTTCAATTAAACGGTTACCGGTTAATATTATTTATTGGTACAAAAATCATAATATACACTCACATCCCATGCTCAAGATCAAGATTCTTCTGTTCTTGTGGTCCCGGTCTACGAGCACGTTGACGACACTGTTGTCGGTGAACAGTTTCTTCTCCTCGGTCGGCAACGGGTTGCCAACAATTTTTTGATTTTTCGCCTTGAACGTAGCCAAGCGGACCATCTAGAACACAGACCACCGCGAGTGTAATATTATAATGATGCGATCGTAGTTTTCGTTCAAGCACGATGAATATTTTCGCGAGAGAAAATCGTCTACGATACCGTCGCGGAACGTAAACTGAAAAAAGTTTTCCAAACGGATTTGATACGGACACGTTAGTAATTGGTTCGATTTTGGTTGAGTTATTTCACCGTTCATGCCGTTCATTCAAAAATTCAAACATTCAAAAATTTGTCCGAGACAATAATTCAATCGAAAATATTACTACCATCACGGTTACACGATCTAATTAAACCAACATAGCGATTACTGTTATCTTGTGGCTAGTCACTGTATATGTATACACCATACAATCAGTATCATACTGAACAGCCTCAATTTGTCTACTACAATCAATTCTTTGAAGAGCACCGTTCAATCGTATAGCGGTAATTATTATTAGTTATTGTTTTTATTTATTTATTGCCTTTGTTAGTAACGTTAAAGCTATACAATGGTAATTATTATAAGAAAAATTATTATTATAACTGTTATTGGTGTTTGATTACGATTACAATTAATTATTGTTAATTAATTACTAATAATTCTAGCCTATTAACGTAATTGTAAATAGTGATGAACAATAATATAATATTAAAAACAGTGCGTACTATTGTTCGACTGCTTCGACGGACATATAAAACATTATCGTGTGCGGGTAAAGGCTTGATCGAAGTAACAACGCGAACGAAAATTGTGAGTAAGCTCTTGGAGATTTTACACAAAGCAATAAATAAATATGACCGTGAGAAAAATATAATTTACGGAAGGATTTCGATGAAAACGCGTTCGACGTTCTAACCACGGCAAAAGCATTTTGTCGGGTAAACAGAAATCGCTACAGCCGATTAGTGAAAATAATAGTATAAATTATTATTGTCTCGCCTTTTTACCAGCCAAAATCTAATAACGCATGTGTTCTCGAAAGAAACCGATTGTTTTTCTTCTTCGTTCCGTATACATAAAATATTATACAGATGGTACAGAAAAAAAAAAATTAAAATAAAAAGCTAAACCGATTTCCTGAATAATAATAATACCTTTTTTTCGTTATCGGCACTTCGTGTTGACTTCTTTTCAATATATATACCGTGAGAATCGATCAAACGAACGTAAACAAACTTATCGGAACTTTTAGAATAAAAACCTTACGACACATTGATCGTTGTACGTGTACAGTGAACCGGGCCGTATCATATTTTATAAAATGGATGTTAAACTTGTAACACATAACATTATCTAGTCGGTGTATTGAATAAACAAAGAATTATTGGAAGAACGATCAATTAACATTTACGGATCTACGCAGTAAGTGAACGTTAAATGAGCCCATGCGTACTGTTGCGCTTATCACAGTGGTCGTGTCACATAACACAGTATTCTGTAACGGTGTGAGGTAGTGGTGAAGAGGTGCCATTACAGTGCAATGTATTCGGTTTCGTGTAAGAGGAAAATCAACAGTGGTGAAAACGCGGTTTCGGTTGTAGACACTATTCTGGCTGGGGTATCGTTAAGGAAACAGTCTGCTTACCAAATCGTATGCGCTCTGGGCGTAGAATTTGTTCGGTCTCAGGAATATCATCAAATACTCGTCAGTGTCCTTGTACGTCAACGTATCGTTTTCTGGAAAAAAAAAAAAAAAAAATGAAAAAAATGATATATACAAAATCAGCAACCCGTGCGCGCGCGAGTTGTAAGTACGACGTGTGCGCGAACTGCTCGGACGGAGTGAGTATCGTAAGCTGACCGAACGGGGTGGCTAAGGGACGTCTTCAGCCTGACGTTGCGCGTGAACAAACAACAATGATAACTACATCAGTAGCGTTGTACAAAGTTGATTAAAAGCGTGAAAAATCGATATCGCCTAATGAATTACGTGTTTGATAACGGGTGGAAAAGGTCGACGGACCAATGTTTTTGCGGCCACTTCGGGGTGGACAACAACGCCGTGATGCGAGGTTATAACTAGTGTGTACGACCTAAGGGATACATCTAAACACCTAAGGTACAGTAGAAGTCGACTCAGCCGACACACTTCGCGACATACCAGTAGATACATGTAGTAAATTCCATACCGTTGCCGCGATATGTACTGAAATACACTGTAATATATACTGTAACAGTAACTACTGTATGTACTGTATGTATAACTTTTATATATTGAAAAGATTATTAGTTAGTATGCGATCAGTATATCCGGAGATCTGAGGCGCAATAATCAGTTAGGATTTCGATAGATTGTGCACGCTTCGATAACGTGGACCTAATAATGTACTGGTTATCATCGATATCAAGGATGAACGAAGAGTTTTTAAAAAACAACGAAATTTTGTTTTGTTCTCTTGAAAAAATTCAAATAAAATAACAAGTAAATTGTTTATCCGACGGTGTTGTTGTGTCCTTCGAAAATAATGATGCTACGAAAAAAATGATTACTTAACCACCTTTCGTAGCATATTATATCAATAAAATATACCAATATTAAATACGAAACATTGAAATCGTCTTAGAAGCACGTCAATGAAGAATTCAAATTTATCATATTAAACATAATTAAGTAAGATTATTTTGTTTAGTAAACTACACCTGTGTAACGGAGAGATAAAAAAATAATAAATATAATAATTGCTATAGAATTAAATGTACCTACAGGATGATCAATTGACCTGCCGCCGTCTCTGTTTTTTTTTTAATTTTTTTTTGTGATATTTAATCGTTATATCAATATCAATACCAATTGATTTACAATAAAGGGTATCGAAAACGAAAACGTTACTACCGTATGTACTATTATTGAATCCCAACCGAGGTTAATTAAGTTTATTTTTTTTAATTATGATCTATCGGCTAAAATATTGATTGATAATATTTTCGAACGCTTGGAATATTATAATAGAAACGTATTATAGCATATGGTCATACGAGTGTGTTAGAATAAAAGCGAAAGTTATAAAATTGAATTTATTTAGAGAGGGGTTTATTGGATTATGTTCATACGTTTTGGCTGCCCCTTCATGAGCGGAGACACTTTTTTTTACTCTAAGAAAAATTTTTAATTTGTATTCGAAAATATATTGGTTGCTGTTCTGAAACCAATCTAATTGAAAAGAAATAATGATGTTGACGTAACTCAAAATAACGTTTATAAATACATAATGGATAATCGTGTGCGGTCAGGACTAAAAATTCGGACAGTTTCATAAAATAAAAGCGTCAAATGTCAAAACGCGTTGTGTGCGTGTGCTGTAACTGTAAATGTTAATTCGTTCGGTCATTTCCCCGTCAAAACTGAAAAATTAAATTATTATTAATAATAACTTTTATACGAATATGACGTGTACCTATAATGAAATGGCACTGCGGCGGGTTTAATAAATAATTTGGCGTGTCTTAAAGTGTTATTGATTCGGTATTATCACGTATAGGGGAAAAAACTGTTGACTTATCAAATCACGGGTCGCCCGATGTAGGCAAACACGTATAAAAAGTTATGGACGATATTTCGAGTTAAACGCATAAGGAATAATTATTAGCGTAATACTATTAGGAAACGAATGAGATACTTATTAAATAAACGTATCCACATTGAACGCGGAACAGTTTTATTTAATTTTTTCCTGATTTTTCTCACGAAAATCGACCGGCGAGTGCGGAATATCAGATAGAGAGAGGAGAAACGATCGAAAACATAATAAAATTCCAAATCAGCGCGTCGAATGTGAATCGTTCGAATTAACTCGGAGCGAAGAACTACAACAAAGTCACACACAGCCACACGAAGTGACACTGGCCGAACCTTATTGTTTTCTCTCGCATTTCGAGTTTGGAAAATCTTTTTCCAACACGGTTTACACGGTAACAGCAACTCGGACGTACCTTTGAGCAACTGGCGAAGCTCGGCCAATGACTTTTGCACCTGTTCCGGAGTCTCGCGGAGCTCGCGTTCCGCAATCGCAGCCGCTTCCTGGCTCATCGGCGACGTATCCAACGAGAACGCGGCCTTCAGTGCCTTGAAGGACATGGACCGACCGCAGTCGTCCATCGACTTCATCTGTTTGCTCATACTGCTGGCCTTCAACATGATCGGACGGGTTCGGATGAACAGAGCGTTATTATCATTAAACGACGAACGGACAAACGGAGTCGGACGATGGAGTGGTTAAACCGTTTGTTATTTGTTAGCGGTCGGCGACGAACAAGTATTCGTGAGACGGGCGTACTGCGGAGAAGTTGAAAAATAACGTAAAAACGCGAGTGAAACACGAACGGTCAACTAACTCGTAGTGTTCGAAAGAGCAGTACCTGCACTGATTGCGCTGATCCTACAGGAATCTGACTGATTTCCGATGCGTTCGTCGCAATTTTAAATACCTATTGCAGCCGATAGGGAACCGCGTGATCCCTACTACGTACGATTGGTCGCGTTGTCCTTATCTCCCTTCCGGTAGGGATATGGCGGGGGGCCACGGCGTGGCTGTTCGCACGTCATCTCGGCCGCCACCACCACGTCCCTCTCTTGTCCACTCGTATCAGACTTCGTCCCCGGTTCGACTTCTTCCAAAAGTTTCTCATCGTTCCCCTCCACGCACTTCTTCACCCACCTCATCCCCTTGGTTCGCGTGGGTATTGCGCGCAATATTTTCCGAACGAAAACAATCAAACCAATTGCGGATGATTAATACGCATCGCCGGTGCCAATATTACGATAAACAAATCGAAATACGTTTCACGATATGATTTTCAACCGGATATATTATTACGAAACGCGTTTCGCCCTTTAAACTCACTGAAACATGCCATTAAAATGTTATTAAGTGTTGTCTCATATTTTGTTGTTCGTGATCGAGTACCGCGTTGGTCCGCGACTAGACATCACGGTTCGCACCGCAGCAGCGGCAGCAGGTTGTCAGTTGATATGTATTCGCCCAATGATAATCATATTTTTCACTGAAATTTTACAAGTCTTACAATTACACTGTCAGCCACTACGTATTATCCGCAGTTTTCGCTTAAATTTAAAACCCGTCTTTTTTCTCTCTCCTAAAACCAAAGTCTCGTTTCGGAAACAATATCCGTTATTGGTATTTTATCGTTTAAATGGTTTTTCATTTGGATCGGTAATATTTTTCGACTTTTCTTATACGAATTTTCAACAACTTGTCATAACATTAGAACATAACCACAAGTGTATTTCAATTTTACGTTCTTTTTTCCTTTTAATTTAATTCATGATCAACACAACAGGTACAATTAAATTTATTATTATTAAATGGACGCATCCGAGTAGGGTCCCAGATAATATTTATGATAAAGATAAACAACTTATTGGATTCGATTATAAAAACAATAACTTACGAGTGCGGTGTGACTATAGATTCCATAACATACTAGTTCGGTCCGACCACTACGACAATAAAACCTGTTACTTACAAGTATTTATAGATTTGATAATGTTAAAAAATTAATAGAGTTCGTAAAAGCTCTACCATTTAAATTTTTACCAATTGTGTAAATTTTTAAATTTTCTAATAATTTTATTATTAATTAATTAATAATTTTACCATACACCAGTATTCTAACTTTCGATTGATAATTGATAATTATATACCATGTATTAGAAACTTTTAAAAAAAAAATCATACCTGTGTTCTAATTTATAGGTAACTGATAACCCTAAGTCTGCGAAAATGGCAAGTAAAATTTTATTTTTTATGAACCCAACTAGAGTAGTACTTGTAAAATCGTGGGACCCAACTACTGTACTACCTGAAAAATACTGGGACCCAACTATTGTACTGTTTGAAAAACACTGGGACCTAACTAGACTAAATAAGGGTTATTAAATTACAAACAAATCAAATGAATTGTTTATACGAACGATATAACAATATAATAACAATAAGAGATCATAGTTATATCACGAAATTCAAATTTCTCCAATCTTCTGTTTATTAATTTGACTGTATAATTAATTGTCCATTTATATCGGTAACCAAGGGCACTGTGTTTGAAAAGCCTTCTTTAATGCATACTTTTAAAACGAAATGTTAGGTACTATTCTGTTTTATATTATTTTCTGCAGATTCAAACCATTATAAAACAATTAAGCTGTACGAATTGTTTATTTAATAATTAGATTACTCCACCGAAGTCAACGCATGAACAATGTTAACAATTACAAGTTTCTAAATAATATGGCTGAACGCTAACAACAATAGCACCTTTATATATACATGTATTTATATGTAGACTGTATGGTGCACTTTATAATACGAATCAAGGTTATTCAAATATATATTATAACAATGATATTATTAAGAGGCTTTATTTAATGTAGCAATGAGTTTCAAAAAAATTTACAAAAACTTATCATAACAGATTAATGCAAACAGAATATTATCTAGGATCATCGCACGGACGGTCTAATATTATTATTTGTCTTTCGTTTATCAGCTTCCGTTAAATTACGTTCAACTACAATTAATTCGTCATATTTTAAAACGCTGAAAAAACTAACAATACTATAAATAATTAATTTTGATTAGAACTTGAATTTGTTTAGACAATGAATAATAGTTAACAATATTATATAACAAACAGGTACTGGTTCCTATTTGATGTATTATAACGAAATTACTGAAATCAAAAGAATTTAATAATTCGATGAAGAAATTGTTAAAATGTAATGAAAAATGATACCAATAATACTTAAAATATCGTTTCTTAGGTTTTTTATTAAATATTCAAAATGTCTTATTTAAGCGTTTGAGACGTGTTTAAGATAAAAATTTTTTTTTTTTTTAATTACTAAAAAACAATTTTATAGCATAGTGTTAACTTCTTAAATATGAGAATTAAGATTGTGTTAATTCCTTTATTACTATTAAGTTAAATTAATTGTTTATTATTAACTTATTAATTTACAAAAGCCTGGTAACTTTGGTGCTCAAATTATGGCTCAAATACTTTTTCGGTCTATTATTTTCACTCTTATTCGAAATAGGAGGTGGATTTACCTAGTTGAAATTAATTGCACCGTCCCAAAACGAATGTGTACACTTTACCAATTATGTCTTAATATACACATTTGTAAACGAAAACTCAATAGTCCTCCCTTCCCTTAATGGTGAACATCAATACCTATATTTATTTGACCATCCCAGAATCACAAATGAATCACATCACTCTTTGTTTTCTGGGAAAAATGGAAATAATATATTGAAGGGAGTCACGATCGACCTGTTAGCCATCCCTGGTGAAGGGTACGGTTCCTTCGTTTCCGCCTAACACAAAAGTGTCGACGGAGGTAATAAAACTGCTAAACATGTTTTTAATCGAAAACGATTGTATTGCGTATACAAAAATAGAATAAACTTACAAAAACTTTTAAAAGAAAAAAAACAAAGACTAGTAAATTCAAATAATTTGACAAGGAATTATTCCTTGGGTTGCGAAACGGCTTTGTGCCGATAATTGATATTACGCAAGCTCTACGACATCAACGCAAACGGTTTAAGACCCGGACCCGGTTTGTATAATTAACCGATCATCAAAAGATTTTGAAATAACCGCGTTAACGTCACTTGATACGAGACTCGAAGAACTTTGGTCGTGCGCAAAACTACGTTATGCAGTCGCGTGTTTATTGAGTAATTCAAAGTTTTATCACGGATTCGTCTTTACGTGCGGTTCTCGCTTAACCCTGTGGGCCAGGTTGAATAATATTCAGAATCATAAATTATATTAATTTTTCACTAAAATTATATTAAACCTACCTGTGATACGTTGTGCCTCATTGGCCGTCACGCACGATGCATATTCAAACGCATAAAGCTCATTATGAACAACTGTACATCAATTATATCAATTATAGTTTTTTTTTTTTTTTTATTGCTCGACAACGAACGATTACAAACTTTATAGAAAAAAATTTAATTTAAATAACAGTAATTGGAATAATTTTAAATACGTTGTAATTAATTATGTCTATTATTAACTCGTTAACTCATTCGGTCATAGTGACACTGATTTCCAACTTATTACCACGTCGATTATCATTGAAATCAATACACTATTATAGGTGTCTACTACGCTATTAATATAAAAGTATTATTAATTTTTTTTTCCTTTAGTTATTTATTAGTAAATGTATTTTAATAGTACGTTCTAAATAAAAATAAAATATAACTATAAACTAATCGTAATATAATTAAATAGTTATTTAGAATTAACTAATTACATTTTACGGCCAATAACATTAATAGATAAACTGACCATTCCGATTGGCGTTTATTTACAATCGAATAAATTATAATTAACACTTATTACCATAATAAAACATTAATTTATAATAATGTTTAGTTTCACCGTTTTATAAATGCCAATTTCGGCACCCTATTCTGTATTTCTGTCAGTTTTAGCGATTGCTATCCGTCAGCATTGAACAATACGATTGTTCAGACGACAAAAGATCAGTAAAGATACCTTTGGTTTTTGGAAAGCATTTTTATTAAAATAATAAATTTTAATAAATGAACAAATTACACGCAAAGACCAAATAGACGTTACTGAATATTAAGAAAAATAAAAACAATAGTGAAACTCACATGAAAATTAGTTATCTAATATTAATATTTTTATTGTTTGAATCCGGTGAATAAATAATAAATAATAAAACAAAACGAATGCATACAAATTGGATTTAAAATTAACTTTTATTAAAAAAGTTACGTTACAATTAAACAAAAAACTGTTTCGTCAGCAAATTGAATAAGATACATTTATTTAAATCGTTTTTAAAATCATAATTCAGGGATTCATAGGCGTGTTACGTGCCAATGTTGTCAACTCGACAGTACAACAACGTTTGTGTTAAATGATATTCAATATATAAAAAAGAATACAGATGACGATATCATGTTAGTTATGCTAACAGTTTTAAATAAATCAACATGAACAATCAAATAGAACAATAAAAACTTTGCTGACTATTGTATAACAGTATGTAATAACAGGTAGAGCTTCTTCGCTGAATGGTTGGATACGTTCGAATTCGATACTGATCCGGAGCTCTTATGTACGCCGTTGAATCGCTTTCTCGTCAATTTTTGCCTGTTTGTTTGTTTTTGTAAACTACTTTTCTTCGTTGTATTTCTTTCCCATAAATGCTGTTTTGTGCACTTTGCTTTTGACTAGTTTTACAGATGGTTTCTATTTTTACATGACCCGACGAGGATTAGCGTTTTCCGCATACATTATGTTTATTTACAGTTCATTATGGAGCGCTTACAAATCAGTATAGCGATACGCAAAAGTGTGCGAGCATTTAAACACTCAACACGTTGT